TTTTCAGGATATCTGAAAGAGTATATTATCATGTCCCAAAATATTCACTAATAGGAATGGGACATTGATAATTTGATTTAGAGTCTGTTTTGGTTAGGTAATTCCTTATTTTAAAGTATGTACCTTAGAATATGGCTTTAAGTAAAGTGGAATTTGATATTTATTTTTGGAAAGCAGAGATTGAAACTTATAATTATTAGCTCAGATCTTGATCTATTGCAAAAAAAAAAAAGACCTCATCTTGTCAGTTACATTTTTTATGAACTTTCTACTAGTATTAAGTTGCTAAGTCATTCTCTCCAGTGACTAAATATCATGCAAATCATGCTGCATTAATGTGGGAGTAAATGTCAATAATCTTTTAAAATAATCATTGTTAAATATTGTAAAGGTAATGTGGAGGAAAATTTAGAATAGATTAGAAGATTAGAAGACAACTTTAAGCAAAAATGTTGACTATCATGAAAGCAAATATAATTGTCTTTGATGTTTACATAGTTATATGTGACTGTTAAATTTATATGTTCAACAATTTATTATACTTGAGCAGTAATAGTTGGAGACTTCAGTACTCCACTTTCAGTAATAACTAGGGTAACTAGACTGCAGATTAGCAAGATAATAAAAGGCTTGAACATTATAAACTAGACCCAATAGATGTATGCAACCATTGCATCCCAAAACAGCACAATACATACTCTGCTCAAGTGTACATGGAATATTCTCCCACACATATTCTCCCATATATATTAGACCACAAAACAAATTTTCATAAATTTTAAAATATAGAAATCATACAAGGTATTTTTCTGACTACAGGGAAATGAAATTAATAATAACGAATACATCTGGAAAATTCACAAATATAAAGAAGTTAAACAAGACACTTTTTTTAAAGATTTATTTATGCATTCAAGAACTGGGGTACAGGCCAGAGTTGTGGGGGTATGAGGATTCACCAGAGACAGACTGGCGAGCAGAACAGGCAGACTGACTGAAATATACTGCTGAGGGGAGCAGTGGGTGAGTCAGGAGAGGTCTGCTGCTCCATGTAGGTATCTCCTTGGCTGGGGATCGACTCGTGCTGCAGTAGCTGTAGATAGCTTCATAGGTTGTATCTTAACCCCTTGCACCACCAGGGAGGCCCCCACCATCTGCTTTTTTTTTTTTTTTTTTTAATTTTTTTGAACAATATTTGCTTTCCCCCACCCCCTTAGGTTGAGTCCCCATAGGATTTCCTTCCCCAAGGCACCCATGCACCATCACCATAGTCTTCTCTTCTCCCTCCCTCCTCCTGATCTCTCTCCCTCCTCCTCCCTTGCAGTATGTCTCTGATTTGTGACTGTAAACAAGACACTATTTTTTTTTTAAAGATTTATTTATTTATTTATTTATTTATTTATTTATTTATTTATTTATTTACACAAGCACTGGGTACAGTCAGAAGCGCAGGAGGGTGAGAGAATTCACCAGAGCGGGGAACATAACAGGCAAACTGATGAAATACGCTGCTGAGGGGAGCAGCGGGCATGGCATGGCAGGAGAGGTCTGCGCACCATGTGGGACCCTCTCTGGCGGCTGGGGATCGAACTGGTGCTGCAGAGGCTGCGGGCAGCTTCGCAGCCCAGCGCTCAACCAGGGGAGGCCCTAAACAAGACACTCTTTAAGGGTTAAGCAGCTGGAATTCCCATACTTAGCTGATAGAAATACAGATTGGAATGATCACTTTTTAAGTATTTTGGTAATTGAAGGTTAAGTACATGCTTATCATATGACCCAGTAATCCCACTGCTAGATATTTATCCAAGAGAAACCTGGATAAGACATTTGCCCTTGCAACAGCTTGTATGCCAATGTTCATGGTAACTTTATTTATAATAGCTTAAATCTGGAAAGAAGAGAAATATGTAGCTGGTGACTGGATACCAAGCAGTCAAAAGGGGTGAACCAGTAATACATCCAATATGAAATGATCTCAAGAGATTTGTGTTAAATGAATTAATCCAGATACAGTAAGGCATGTGTGATTGTAATAACTTGGTATTCAGAAAATGATAGTAGGAAACAGATGAATGGCTTCCAGGAACAAGAGAATTGGGTACAAGATTGACTACAAGAGATTCAAGAAAATTTTGTTGGGTGGTGGAAATGTTCTGTCTTACAATTTTGGTTTTGGATATCTTTAGTAAAACCTCATCAAATTATATACCTAAAATTAAAGTTTTTTATTATATATAAATTATACTTAAGTAAAGTTGACTCTAACAATGAAAATAAAAATTACAAAGACCAAAAATATTAACACTTTGGAGCCAAGAAGTGAGAGAAAACACTGTTACAATGAAATAAGAATTTTTTAAGAGTAACTCAAAATGGAAATCAAAAACTACTTAAAATTTGTGACAGTAAGAGCATGATACTTAGAAGATATGTTCAACACTTAGCTCAGAAAGAAAACTTCAGTTTTAAAAATTTTGTTACCAGTTGAAGTGAAAATAACCTCAACAACTCAAGTTTTTCATTTAACAAATAATGCATGCTACTTATAATGCACCTTATATCTTTATAAAGATAAAATCATAAATGTTGATAAAACTAATTCTTTGAGAGTATCAGTAAACGTGAAAGGCCAACAAAAAATAAAACCAAATAAACAAGTATCCCATGTTATGGCTGAGAAAGAGTATAACCAAAATGACTTGGAGATTGAAAATGAGGGCTGCAGCATACAATACTAAAATGATAAAATTTTGAATCTTATTAAAGTAGGTCCTTGTCTAAGAAATAAATTGTAAGTATTGTGACAGAATTTCTGTTCCCTCAGCATAAATTGTATTTTCCTTCTTGTTCAGCACCGTTTACTCCTCTCAGCTTAAAATGCCATTTCCTCTGTTCTTGTGTTGAGATGGCTACCTATTTTTCAAGCAATAACATGTTGCATGTCCTTCAGGAAACTTAGCTTGCCATCATAACTGGAAATGAGTACTTGTGACAGTGCTCATCTGTCACCAACTCTGCTCTGTAGAATTACATATCTTTCAGTGCTCTTCCTTCTCTTTTGGAGAGTAAATTCTTGAATATTCCCACAAATTTGTCTCTATCGTCTATCTATAATCCATCCAACCATCCATCTATCCATCCATTCCTCCCTCCCTCTTAGTATCTCTTATAGTCTAGTTTATATAGAGTAGGAACTTTGGAAATAAATATTAAATTGATTGCTAAAAGTGAATTAAGAAGCTTAAGAAAAATTGGATGATGAATTTCTAGTTATGTGCATGAGTAGTAGAATGGATTTAGTCCTCCTTACTTTAAGTTCTAAGAAATGTGTGTTTGGGGGCCTCCCTGGTGGCTCGAGGGGTTAAGCACCCCACTATGAAGCAATCTGCAGCCTGTGCAGCACCAGTTCGATCCCCAGCCAGCCAGGGAGCAACCCACATGGCGCGGCAGACCTCTCCTGACTCGTCTCCTGCTCCCCTCAGCAATGTACTTCAGTCAGTCTGCCTGTTCTGTTCCCCACTCTGTCTCTGGTGAATCCTCTCACTCCCCAATCTTTTTTTAAAAAAAAGAAAAGAAAAAGAAATGTGTGTTTTGATAGAACAGTCTTCTCCTAAATCTCAATTTCTTCTTCATAAAATGAGGATAATGCCATATTAAGGTTTGTAGACTATGGCAATGAATGTATGGCTCCAGGACAATGGTTGGAAAATATTAAGTACTTTTTGAATAAGGCCTCAATTACTTGCACCTACAGAGTGGTTATTCCCCAATTTGATATGCCTTAATATTTTGGGGCTGATAGCAGTAAACGTGTGTAGGCTGAAACAATACATGTTTAATGTTTAAATCTAATTTAGTTCTTCCTTCATTCCTTAGCATAACCTGTGCTAGTTGCTTTTCGCTCATTAGGTCTGTGTCATTTGCATTCTTCACTTTTTTTTTTTAATCAATCATTTTTTTTTTATGGAGCAATGTTAACTTTCTCACCTGTCATTGCTGTCTGAATGGGTATACTTTGTGACTTATTCTTTCATGAATCAGTGGAGTAGTTCTTTGAGACTAGGTCCCTTTGAGTGGGAATTTACAATTTAAATTAACATGAATTAACATGTCTTTTTCATCCAAAAAGAGAAATTGACAGATTAAGTGACTATTAGGCTGATTACCTTTAGATGGCTCCCAATTACTAGTTCAGGCAAACTGGAACCTAGCTAGACAATGACAGTGAAGTGTTATTTCTGATTTTTTTCAGACCTGTGGCATTTAATCAATGTAAGCAACAAAACCAAACTAAAATCTTTGAGTGGCTTGTCAACTTATTTCCACATCCTTTGAAATTACTTCTAACATTGCATGACTTTTCTTTGCCTTTATTTTTGCATTACATATCTCTGAAGGTGTATATAGTTAATGTGCCACCAACCTCTCTCTCTCTTTTTTTTTTAAAGATTTATTTATTTATTTATTTATACAAGCACTGGGTACAGTCAGAAGCACGGGAGGGTGAGCGAATCCACCAGAGCCAGAGCGGGGAACAGAACAGGCAGACTGATGAAGTACAATGCTGAGGGGAGCAGCGGGCGGCAGGAGAGGTCTGTGCGCCATGTGGGACCCTCGCCCAGCGGCCGGGGATCGAACCAGCGCTGCAGAGGCTGCGGGCAGCCTTACAGTCCAGTGCTCAACTGCTGCGCCACCAGGGTGGCCCCACCAACCTCTCTTATAGAAACTTAATGTGGCCTCAAATTTAATTATACTGACTTCAATATTTCAGAAAACAAGCACCATCGTATACTAGGTCTGCAAACTTAGAAGTGTTCTTAAGAATCTGTTCTCTGTCTTGTGTGAAAATAAGTATTTTTCAGTCTTTTGGGATACTATTGATAGTATTTTAAAGAAACAGTTTCAGAAAGCAGAGTGTTAAAATTAAGGTGTTCCTGGTCCTAGGAGAAGAAAACACCACCAAGATTTTATTTTGTTACAGAAATTAGCATCAAAATAACAGTGATAAAACTTTTTCTTTTCAGGGCCAAGGAATATGAGAGTTTAATAGAAACATCAAATTCTGGCTCTGACTCACCTTACAAGGCAAAGTGAGTATTTTATCCATCGTTCTCACTCTCCATCTCTTCTCCTTCTGCATGTTACCAAGGTTTATCTGAACCATCATTGTTTGCCTGTGACCATGGACTTTGTATCTGATACTTAGAACTTAAGTCTCCTAAGACAGTAGTATCCCACTGGGGATTGTTTTGACAGGAGACATTTTGCTCTGTCTGGGGTATGTGATAACATGTTGGTTATCACAACATGGGGACATGGTATTACTGGCATCCAATGCATAAAGGCCAGGAATGCTGTTAAACATTCTTTAGTGCACAATGTCAAAGGTGCTGAAGTATAGAGACCCTCTTCTGACAGAACAGATTCTGGCAAGTCCGTGCTGGTACTTGCTCTGAAAAGATCTCTTCAGGACATTCAAATCATTGATAATACATTACATCATTATAATAGCAATAAAAAAGTAAACTTCAAGAATAAACTAGCAAGAAATATTAAGGTTCTATAGAAATGAAACTTTAAAATGTTAACAAGAAATACAAAGAAAGACTTATATAAAAGACAAATTCCCTTATAGACGACACATATAATACATTTTCTATAAGTTCCCCTATAAATGTAATATAATTGCAATAAAATAACAACCTTTAAAAAGGAGATATAGAATCATTTTAAAGAACATGTGGAAGCTCCACATACATATGGAATAGACTGGAATCAACCTTTCTCCATGAAACAACGTTAAAAAAAAAACTGAAACAAGTTCTCAGCGAAACCCAGATGCTTTGAACTGGCTATATGACACCAGAACTTTTACAAGATACCCAAAATCCACAAAGGGGGCAAAAGGAAGAGTCCATTTTCTTCAGGCCTCAGGAAGCCCATCCCCCCAAGCCAGCAAATACCCCCAGCCAGGACTGGGGCCCCAGCTCGAAGCCCCCGGGGTCCCACCATACATTTGAAACTACCAGATACCCCCAGATGCGCAAACCAGACCTCGGTATCAGTTGCCAACTCCTCGGGATGGGACAGAACTCTACTTTTCTCTTTTTGTCCTGAGCTACAAGCTAGGAGTAAACCACCACCACATTGGGAAGCCATCCCACTCTGCCTTCTGCCACCTAGAAAACAGGGCCACAACACCAGCCACCAGCACCTCTAGAGCAGCCACCAGAACCACCACTCTAGAGCAGAGCAGAGGGAATCCTGAGATACAGCTTTTGTGCTTTTTCCAAGATTGTGAGCAACAATCTTGAAAGATCAAGCACCAGGACACACCACTCAGCTGGCCCACACCTCTAAGCAGACCAGGTCATGACTAAAACTTTGCATTGCCATGTCCTACACTGGGGACTCTCAGCTATCTCCAGCTACACCAGGAAGTGAATCCCACTCAGCCTACTGCCCTCCTGGCAGACAGGGCCACAGCCAGAGCCTTGTGTTGCCAGGCTGTACATCAGGGATCTTTGGATACCCCAGTTGGTCTGTTTGATAAAAGCCACACGACATGATATGAGCCCTAGCCCCCACCCAGCTGCCACAGTGACCCAGACAGCATGCAGATTCACCCATGCCCAAGTAAGAGTAGTGGGACATCCTGCCGGCCAGCAGTGATCTGGTGAACAGGACCATGGGAATCCCCGCCCCCAAACTTGCCCATATGCCACAGTGGCCCAGGGAACATGCAAATCTAGTCACGGCCTGTAACAGCACCCAGAAATCCTACTGACCATCAGAAGTAGCCAGTTGGTGTGACTGAAGGGAGAGCAGCAAGAGGACCCACCCTCACCTCCACCCACCACCAACAGCAACCTAAGGTCCAGGCAGACCCATACACGCTCTGGTAAGAACACACAGGGTCATGCCCAATGACACCAGTGGCCACATGGCCCTACTAGAACAAGCACTAAAGCAACAATAGGGAGAAAGAAAAATATACTTGGTCAAGTAAGCTATCCTGGGAACAGTACACCACAGAAAGAAAATCAGCTTCCAGATCCCATGACAATAAAATGGAAGAATTTCTCTCCCTGGCAGATAAAGAATTCAGAATCACCTTAATTAAAAAAACTAAAAGAAGCATAAAAGAAACAGAATACTGAGAAATACAATCAACAAACTGAAAGATGAGAATGAATCTTTAAATAAGAAAATAAAGGAACTGCAGGATGTTAAAAGATCAACAGAGAAATTAAAAAATTCTAGACAAAGTCATGAAAATAGAATAGATGAAATGGAAGAACAAATCAGTATTTTTTTTTTAGATTTATTTATTTATGCAATAAGAGCTGGGGTGTAGGGTAGAGGTGTGGAGATTGAAAGGATTCACCAGAAACAGAGTGGGGAACAGAACAGGCGGATTGACTGAAATACACTGCTGAGGGGAGCATTGGTTGAGCCAGGAGAGGTCTTCTGCGCCATGTGGTTCAGCTCCCTGTCTGGGGATTGAACTCCTGCTGTAGTAGCTGCAGATTTCTTAGCCCTTTGTGCCAACAGGAAGGCCCCACAAATCAGTATTCTTGATGATACAGATATAAAATGAGTCAAAAAAGAAAAAGAGAGGAACAAAGGAAAGAATGAAGAAACACTTCAGAAATTATCTGACACCTAGAGGAAAGGAATTGCTATATACATACATACATACATATTCCTATATATGAGTTACAGGAATCCCAGGAGAACAAAGAAACCAGGGAACTGAGAAGCTATTCAAGAAAATAACTGAAGGGAATGTCCCAAACCTGAAGAAGGAAATGAAAATAGATATACAGGCAACTAGAAGAACACCAAACTACTATAACGAAAACTACAGCAAGATGCATAATAGTAAAGCTACTGAGAGGCCAAGGCAAAGAAAAAATAATGAAGCTGATGAAGGGAAAGAAACAGGTAAACTATAAAGGAAATCAGTCAGGCTGACATCAGACTTTTCTGAAGAAACACTATGGACAAGAAGAGATTGGAGCAACATATTCAGAAAATTCCAACACAGAAGGTGCTAGTCTAGAGTACTTTATCCTGCAAAGCTCTTTCCTTTATGAGGGAAAAATAAGGACCTCCTCAGACAAACAAATCTACAGAAATTCACTATTACTATACCCCCACTCCAAGAAATATTACAAGGAGCCTTAAAATCCAAACCAACAGAGGAGTGAGCAGGAAGAACTGAACAAGGTGGTGAATAGAACCACAAAATGACCACCAAAATGGCAATAACAAACTTCTATGTATCAATAATCACCCTTAATGGACTGAACTCACCAATAAAAAGGCAGAAAATAGATGGCTGGGTTAAAAAACAGAATCCAACCTTCTGCTGCCTCCAGGAACAACACTAAAGCTCTAAAGATAAACATAGATTTGAAAGTAAAGGGTTGGAGAACAATTCTACAGGCAAATGGTCCCCAAAAGAAGGCAGGGGTAGCCATACTTAGATAAAACAGACTTCAAACCAAAAAAGGTGACACGAGACAATGAAGGACACTATATAATGATCAAGGGGATAACAACACTAGAAAGACACAACGTTCATCAATATACTCACCAAACAAGGGAGCACCAAATACATTAGACAGTTACTATCATCTCTGAAAACAGACATTGGAGAAAATATACATGTGGTAGGAGACTTCAACATCCCACTCTCACCATGAGGTAGATCAACAAGACAGAAATTAAACAAGGACACAAAGCCCTAAATGAAGATATAGACCACATGGGCATAATAGACATCTATAAGACACTGAAGAGATAAGGACTCCATGGAGACACCAGCAAATAGCCAAAGGCCAGTGGTAAGCTTTTGCAGAAAAGCATGCACATTCGAAAAGCATGCGCGGATCTCAGCTGTCCAGGTCCCCGTGCCCGCGACCTAGGTTCGTGGGGAGATGCACAACACATGGGAACCTTCACTGAGGTGAATGACCCTCACTGAGTAGTCAAAAACCAGGCTCCCGGGCACAGGAGCAGGGTGCAAAAGGTGCCATTTCTGTTTCTGTGGACATTGAACTGGGCTACTGCCCACATCCTGGATCTGAGGGCTTCGGAACTGATAACCGGGGCATGAAATTCAGGGCCTGGAATCCCCACGACTGTGGGGCACAGGACAGACAGCTCTCCCATGCCATTGAGGCACTCCATGCCACCCCCACTCTATTGCTCAGGGACCCACGGAAGGGGAAGGGGGGCGTAGTTCTGGAAGGATACTAGGAAAGATCTCTGGTGCCACCTAGTGACCAGAACAAAATCACCAACTTCCTGATAGTGGGAAGGCAGGGATCCCAAAACTACCCTCAGGCTCTGAGAGAGGATGGGCCATGCAAATGGGGGTAAGAAAGGAAACAAGGCTTGGAGCAAGACCCCATTCTGGAACTGAGAGCCAGGTGCAGGATCTGGGCCTGGGACACATCATAACAGTGGGCACTGCACAGGGTGTCAGCCAACATTTTGGATCTGATAGCACTGGAACTGACACCTACGCACAGAATTCAGGTCGCGGGATCCATACAGCTGTGGGCACAGCACCAGTGAACACAGGGCAGACACAGCACCACCAGCTTGAAAAAGAGCCCCTCTGTTGAGGTGCTCCCCTCCCCCCTTCTTTTCTCAGAACCACTGGGAAAAAGCACAGTTCAGCAAGTACAGGTCTCTGGCACCACCTAGTAACCAGAACAAAATCACCCGCTAGCTGATTCCCTGCTGGAACTGAGTAAATACAGAGGGAGGGAACTGTAAGGGACATTGCCCAGCAACACAGCATCAACCCCCTGGTGGGGTTTGGCATATGGTCCTGGACACGGTCTGGTAAACAGTTTCTGAAAACACTGAAGGAGCACCCCAAAAAGATTCCTGCCAACACCAGTGGCACAACGTCCCAATACTTAGAACTAATTAGAAAGCAAACAGCAGGGAGAAGGAAAAATATAAATAACCAAGCAAGCCTGCAGGAGGAGGACACACCACAAAAAGAAAAAAACAGTCATCAGAACTCAACAATAATATGGTAGAACTTCTTGGCCTGTCAAATAGAGAA